TCACCATGTAAGAACTTATTCACTATGTAAGAATTTGTACACCATGTAAGAACTTGTTCGTTATGCTTCAGAAAATTGGAGACTGATGAGAATTAGGCTTGGGGTGGATTAATGATTGTGCATTGAGCATTGACTCCCCTATACAGAATTTTATTGTTGTCAACAACCATTTGATCAATAAATATGAGAGATGCCCTCTCAAAAAAAAATATATATATGGTCTACATCACAGAGTTCTTGGATTTTCATAGTACTACATTACTCCATGATAAAAATTTTAACTCACAAGATTAGAAAAATCTAAAATGGGAAGGTAAATAAAAGGGACTTCAAGTAAAACCCAAATTAAATTGCTTAAGATGGTTGATTTTTGCTTTTTGAGTGCTTTTTTTTTTTGAGAAGAAGAACCTTTACACACAAATAAATACCATATTTTTCCCACAGTGTGCTTGGAAAAACCAAGTCATAATTCTATCCTCACGTGAGTGATGATGTTTAAAAAGAGATGTGTTTCCATTTCCCTCAGATCAGCTGCCTGACATTTCAAAAGATAAGAAGTACTGCTCAGCTTGAATGAACTCAAAAATATCTCTGCAAATTTATTTCAGCCCATCTTTTGAAATGTCAGTTTGGGACGAAGTGATATGAGTTACTCATTCGGGTATCAGAATATAAGTGTTAAGACCTAAAAAAAAATTTTAAGGAGAGAGAATGAGGTTGAAGTGTATATTTTGAGTAAATTAAAAAAGTCAAACTTTGTGTGGCAATTATTTAACTAAGATAGTTATGTACTCTTAATATACTTAAAACATAAAAACATAAATACAGAAATGACTTATATTATCCATATATTTTTTCTTAAATTTCCCCTTCAAATATTTTTTTATTTTTTCAATATTTCATTGGCTATTCCACTTGCTATTTTGTGTTCATGCTGAATACTTTTGTGTGTCCTAGTATTTTCTTTTTAAATAGATTTATTATATAATTGGATCTGATTCATTCGGTTTTTTTGTTAGATAAATTAAAGGTGTAATGGGAGTGACAATAAACCACATATCATTAAAAATTAATGATGAAAGTTGACTTACCATACAGCCCAATTGTTGCATTTGGGCATTTACTTCAAAGATACGAAACATCTTTTCACAAAGGAACTTGTACAGGAATGTTCATAGCAGCTTTATTTGTAATACGCCAAAGCTGAAAATCACCCACATGTCCTTTAATGAGTGAATTGTTAACAGACAATGGTACATCAATACCATGGAATACTACAAGGCAATAAAAAGGAGTGAGTTCTTGATATACCAACAACTTGTATAAACCTAAAGGAAATTACGCTGAATGAAAAAAAAAACAGTCTCAAAAGGGTACATATTGCATTATTCCATGTATGTAACATTGAGAAACAGCATAACAACATAAATGGAAAACTTATCAGTGATTTCCAGGGGCAAGCAGTAGAGGGTTATGTGTGGCTATAAAGAGGTAACATGAGGGAATATTTTAGTTCCACTATGAGTATTTGGATTTTCCTGGAGATTACACAAGACTACATACACATGTAATAAAATTGCATAGACATACACTCACATACACACACACATGAGTACATGTATAACTTGCAATGTGAATAACTATAAATTGTACCAGGGTTAATATCTTGATTTCACTTTTACATTATAAATGTATTATTATGTCAACATGGGGGACTATGTGAAATAGGTGAAGGGGATAAAGAGATATAAACTTCAAGTTATAAAATAAATAAGTCACAGAGATGAAAAGTACAGAATAGGGAATATATTTAATAATACTCTAATAATACATGGTGACAGATGATAGCTATGCTTATAGTAGTGAGCATTTTGTAATGTATATAATTTCCAACAACTATGTTGTATACCTGAAACCAATATAGTGTTGTATATTAAATATATCTTAATAAAATAAATAATATGGTAAATAAAAAATAAAATGGTAAAAAAAATTGAGGGAGGTTTAGGGATTTTGAGAAGAGTACACAGGACTTCATTGTACATTTCTTTGCAATATCCTGTAAATCTATAATTTCCAAGTGAAATGTTGACAAAAGCTCACTTGTAGTAAAATAATTTTTACAAACAAAACTTTAAGAGAAAATATAATGTTGTAAAAGTTTGCATTCTAGGACCCTATCACATTTTGAAGGTTCACTTCTATTCACCTCCCTTTGGGAGGTCTACAGAAGCCATTGTCCTCAGAGGGTCCACTGGTTAAGTCTGCAGGAGGGCTTCACACACACACACACACACACCCATGAACAAGAGCTTGGAAGTCTTTTCTTTTAAATACTAAAGGGGTATTTTCCATTCTGCCTTGTGGGGCATTTCTTTTTTATTTTTCATTCTGTGTAAACCTGGAATGGAATCTAATTCTAGGAAACAATAATAGTGGGAATATATTTTGTAAATATAAAGGTAAGATTTTTTTCCTAGACTTTTTGTTCTCTGGAAAAATTATTTGTTTAATACTTAAAATACACATTTATGAAAGAAACATTTATTTTCAGATTTTTATTAATTTCAATTAGTAAGTAAGTTCAGGCTTAACAATAAATATTATTGGTGGATTCTAAACAACAATTTTGATTTTTGACTTATGTTCATGCTTAGTCCTTTGTTGTCATATTCTTCCTTTGAGGCCATCAGTATGGACAGTTAAATCTGTTTTCAATTCCCAGCCAAAACTTCCTGATAGTATCTTTAATGAAATGCCCTACTTTACTACAAACCATCAATAATATTTTCATATTTACCTTATGTCCTGTAGCACTTTAAAAGTTAATGATATATATTTAGCCTCTCCATATAGCTTCACATTTCTATCAAACATTTATAAAAGTAATATGGGAAAAACAAGGAAAAAGTGTTATTTCAGAAGCCAGGTCTATTTTTGAGCCAGTAGCAATAGGGAAAGACCTTGATGAAAGTTTTCTGAGTTATGATTGTTGAGAATTTGTGGGAATAAGGTTTACTTAAGAAAATGACTTTGGAAATTTCCTGGTTAATTGAAAATAAATTTAAATTAAATTAAATTTAACACTAATAGGTAAAGTGTGGGTCATTAGTAGGGAAAAGGGATTCTAGGACTTCAGAAAAATTCTTTAAAAACAAAATAACAAAATATTTTTGTCTTATGTTAAAATGTGACATTTAAAATGATGAATATTTTAGCATCATCTCGGTTGTGAACCTCAAGAGCAACTGATTGTTTAAATGTATTTTAAGTCAATCTACCTTTGGGATAAAAATAATTGGCATCATCATATATGTGTCCTCTTCAGGAAATCATGGACCTGAAAAATTAACTTCATTAGAGTATCTTATAATTTCATAACTAAAATCTTTCATGGGTTAAACTTGCTTTTTGCTTTTTTTCCACAAAATTCTCCCAAAGAGTGTAGCTAAGTTACTAAAACATTTAACACAATTTTGTAAAATTTAGGATTACATAATATTTTAGGGAAAAAGTTCTTTGGTTTATGGAGTTTTATTTAGATTACTTTTGTAAAGACTTGCTTCTGTTTTCTCCCATGGTTTGTCTGAGTTTCCTGCCATCTGCTTGTGCTAATATTATCTATCCACACACCACACTCTCCTTATTTTCTTGATTTGGTCCACTGCCTCTCCATTGTACACAAATTGTGTGCATGTTTCCATGTACATGACATGCTCTTTTTCTCCAAGTAATGCTTATTTAGGATCTCTCCTTTCTTGTTTTTTCCTGTTCATTTATCTTACCTGAATTATATTATTGTGCTAATTGCTTTTGGATTTAAGTGAACCTGAAAATTAGAAAATGTTTATACATTAATTGTTCCCATTAATACAGAATTTTTGGGTAGTCTTTTTTTTTCTGAACTGGTTATCAAATGTATTCTTTACTTCTGTTAAATTAAATTTTCTCAAATAGAGTCAGCACCATGGGTTAAAATTCCCACCTCTTACCAGTTGTGAGACTACTCAGGTCCCCTAACCTCATTTGCCCACTCTTCTCCTCATTAACATGGGGCTAATAATTACAGGGACATATCATGACTGGAGGGTCAGCATTAAGTAAAACAATGTAAAATAGCACATAGTGCTTCACACATAGCAAATCTTAAATACTTGCAAGTCTGTTTATTATGATTGCTTTTGTTCTATTTTGAATGCAGTGAAGATATATCAGGCTTACTAATACATTGAACTTAACTATAATACCCTTTATGGGGTAGTAACCTTTCAGGGTATCTTATCAAGGTGATTCTGAATATCTTTCCTTTATGAATCCTTAGTAACAACATCAGATGCAAGCAGAGATCTAGGGAGACACCAGCCACTTTCACCTTTTGAGGCCATACCAGTTATTCCAAATGAGAAAGGCAAATAACAGGACATCCACTCCACTATTGATAAAGGCTTTTCTTGTCAAAGCAGTACGTTTGAAGGAAAAAAACAAATCTAGTTTTCATGCAATGCCATGATCCAATGTAAGCATGCTAAAAGTATTTATGTGCCAAGAAATCAACACATGGCCAAATATAAGATCTCCTTTGAGACTGAGGCCCAGGCCAAATGACCCTCTTTGTCTTCTTTGATTAATCCTCATTAGACCAAAACATGACTTTGATTGTTGTCACTGGGGCTTCATTTTATAGCTGTTCATTCCTTCAAAGATATGTAATAAATACTATTAAACAACCATGAGAAAGATGGCTGCTATTTAAGGTGATGAATACAAAGAATTTTGCATTCTGCATTCTCAGTCATTTAAAACAAGGAATTAGCTATCTTGGGTAGGAGGTTACATAATTACCGACCACAGTGAAGTGTCCTAGGTTTTCTTTGACATAACTAGTTTAAATAGTGTCCCTTTATCCCAATATGTATACTTAGAGTTGTAAAATAATTTGTGCTATTTTTTTTCATTCAGAAAATACTGCCATGGTGTTGACTGATATAAATCGTAAGCTATGGATACCTTTAGAAGGAAAACCAAATCGCTTTCTTGGGAAAAGACAAGATCAGTCTTGAAGCCTGACTCTCCTTGGACACTGGGTAGGATTTTAGATTGGAGATGTGTGTGTGGAGGGTAGAGTAGTGTTAAATATTTTTAGGGGGTGAGACTTCTGTACAATGGAGAGACAGACATAAAAACATAGAGGTTTGAAGCAATTTAAGGAAGACTGAATTTAAAATTTTTGTGTAAAATTAAATTTAAAAAATTTGGTTAAGCCCTTTGTAGAAGGCTTCCAATGCTAGGCTAAAGAAATTAGTAATTTTGTAGTAAATAGCAAATAACTGAAACTAGATAAATAGGGAAGTAACAGAAATGCAAAGTATATGGAAAAGAAGGTAACTTTAAAATCTTCTCCAAATCTTTCATTTTACTGATGAGGATACTGAGGCCCATAAAAGTAAAGCAATAAAAGCTCAAAGCCTCATTAAACTGCCTATGTCTCATATCAGCATTATTATGTATTCCTATGCTTTAGACAACTTAGTTGATACTCTATTTAGATATTTTAATTAACTCAACTTAAAATTTGGGGGAAAGAGCTTACATTTTGAATGATCTTCAAATAGAAACATAAATTTTAACTTTGCATTTCACTGTGAGGCTTCTTGCCAAACTGCAAAGACCTATTCACAGTCATTCCTCTTAATTTGCTTCATACATTTCGAGCACCTTATAATAGAGAGAAGCTGCTTTTAGATTTCTGGTGCCAAAACATTTCAGGAAAAACAAAAATCAAATATAAGCTTCTACCTCTTTACAAAATTGCATCACTGCTGCCTTATTCTTTCATCTTTATTGCAAATATTTAAACAAAAAAAAACAAATGTCACCAGCTAAAGATAATGAAAAATTTATCATGAAACAAAAAGACTCTAGATGTCCAAGCTGGTTAGCCAACTCACCTTTATTAGGTGTGAGTGCAAACCCACTGTTCATAGTAGTTACTATAACCAAATTAAAGAAGATACCTTCTTTCTAAATCACACTTTTTTGTAGATGCTTTATTTGCAGTCTTTTAAAAAATGCTAGTATACGAAAATTGTATACTAGTACACATTATCTCTTTGAAAGAACATGTCTCTGAAAAATTGCATACTAGCTAGTATACTTTATCTCTAAAAGAATGAATGAGGAAATTGAAGAAAAGTACTAAATTAAGCAGACATAATACAGGTAAAGTACAGAAAGTTAATTGTCTTAAACTGTTTTTCTTAATTATTTATGTTTCAATGCAGAACACAAGAAATTAAAATAATTAATTTTGTAAAACCCTGAAATTATTTGACACAGGCTAATTCCACTGGAATTAGTGGCACATATCTGTATACCATGTAATTTCTAAAATAATAAAAAAACATTCTATCATTGAATTCATTTATCACATCTTAAAGTAACTGGCACACTACAAATCTCAATAAGCCAAAATCGTTGACTCCTTGAAATCTCAGTCATAGCTACTGTCTATTTAGAAATTCTACAATTTACTTCTGAAGAATATGTTGACTAATTATCCCATTCCAGCCACCCAGGTATTGGAAGAATAGAAAGCACAGCAGTGAGCGATCTGGGTGTTTAAGAAACTAGCCATGGATGAGCGCAGCCTGCGAATGTGTGGTTATGTGACAAGGCTGTTGGCTCCACAAGCCTGTGATGGGCAGTAGGCAGTACGCCAAGCCCAGGGACCAGCTTTCTGAAGGCTGCCGGCTGAGCCTTGGGCCGATTTCCCTTCCGCCTCCCGGGAGTCCCGGTCCTCTCAGGAGTCGTCAGGAGGATTCTTCGCCCTAATTATCCGGGGAGGAAGGCGCGCCTTCCCGGAGACCGCTAGGCAACACTCACCACGGCAGCCTCCGGATTACTTCCCTCCGTGGTTGTGCGACTTGTTCTAAGCAACTCGCACTTACAGTAGATTCTCACCGGCGAGGGCGAGCGGCGGAGGGCGGGGGAGCCGCGGAGAGGAGGAGGGCGGGGTGGGAGGCGCAGAGCGCGGGGGCGGAGGAGGCGACGGAGCCCCAGACACAGCAGGAGCGCGCCGTGGCCGTGCAGTCTCCGCCGCGCCTTCGCCGCCGCGCGCGCCGCCTCCTCCGCGAGCAGCGGGAACCGCAGCGGCTCCCGGCCGCCGCCGCCAGGACCTCTCCGCGTCGGCGCTCAGCCGCAGCTATTTCCTTCTGCCGGCCTCTTTGAACTCTCGGAATCTTCTCCGCTCGCCTCTCTAGTGTTCCCTCTAGCTGTATTTTCACTCCTCTTCCTTTATACTTAGGCACCCTGCTTTTTTTCTCCTTTTTTTGAGGATTTCTTCTTGACTTACAATGACTTGTCTTCTTACCCTCGTCGATTGCAGCCCTGAAGACTGAAAAGGGACCCTTCTCTTCCCCCCAGTGGCATTTAAAAGACCGCAGTCCTTGGAAGTCTTAAGCAAAGGAAAAGGACGCGGGACCTTCTGGACACCCGGGAGTGCAGTCCGGAACTGCACTACCACCATAACTAGTATTTCATTTAACCCCACGGGAAAGGACGCAGGAGCCGGAAACAAACTTCAGCCTTCTCAGAGGATCCGTGGTCCCCGCATCTGGAGCAGTCGCGCGCCCCAAGGCAGAGGACCCCACGGGGACCCAGCGGGGCCGCGAGCTTCCCTTGCCCCCCGCGCGAGGTCGGAGCCGCGGACTGAGCCGCGCAGGACAGCGGCGGCGGAGGCGGCAGAAAAAGATGCGGGGCTCGCGGCCCCCTGGTGCGGGACGCCGGCGGCCCCCGGGCGGTGGCGGCGAGCCCCCCATTGCCCCTGCGTCTCTGGCCGGCTGCTATTCCGCACCTCGCAGGGCGCCCCTCTGGATATGCCTGCTCCTGTGCGCCGCGCTCCGGACCCTGCTGGCCAGCCCCAGCAACGAAGGTAGAGCGGTGGGCGTGGGGGCCGGCGACCCGGGGCGGGGGGCGAGGCGGGGCCTGTGAGTGCGGCGCCGGGCGCGCTGAACGCTGCTGCCGCGGACCAAGCTCACTCCGTCTCGGATGGACGTTGGTGGTGCGCTTTCGCTAGCCTTTCCGCTCGCTCTCAGCTGTCCCTGGTTGCATTGTTTGACATTAGCTGCGGAGTGCGGGGCGGGGAACCTGCTCGTGGACAGAGGCGGCTGGGGGTGAGGGGGACTCCCTGGGCAGTGGGAAGCCAGCGAGAGCGAGGGGTCTGAGACCCGCGCCGGGAGGCTGGGTGCGGCTGGGTCTCACTTGAGGCGCGTGGAGAAGTGACATGTCGGGCTTGAAGGAGTGGGAACTGTTTGGAGCGCAGCGACAAGGAAGTCGAGAGCAGTGGGGGTTTTAGAAACCGTTATTTGAGGCTGCTCAAGGGAAACGTTGCGGGGGTAGTTGGATGCTTTTATTTTGGGGGAAAGTGCCTTCTGGGAGCTGTTATTTAGAGCATCACCAGCTGCTATTCTGGGGTGGGTGGCAAGAGCTGTCATTTCTCCAGGGAGGGGGATGGCAAAGTACCGAAGGCGCCCCACACTGTGGGGTGCCCTTCCCTCTTGGGAGCTCATAATCACACTGAGGCGAAAGTGGAAGGGGGCGGGAGGTGGGATGCCGCGGGAGGCGGCGTGGGGAGGTTGTGGGGGGGGAGTTTCGCTGCCAGGATGTTGCCGCTGGAGCACACGCGGGCGTGTCTGTGCCTCGGTGAGGGAAAAGCCCCGCGAGGGCCCCCCCACCGGATCTGGGAGTCCCCAGCCCCCTCCCCACCCCCCAATCCTGCGCCCCGGCCCCAGAATACTGTCCGCGCCCGCCCCGGGAGAGCAGGGCCGCCACGCGAGCAGCACCTGCTCGGCACCCGCCCTCCCGGAGCGGGACTCCGCCGCCAGGCCGGCCCCGCTGGTTCAGCCTCGGCCTCCGGCCCGCCCCGGCCGCGCTCGCCCCTCTCACACACCCGCGCTGCGCAGCGCATCCCTCTAGGGTGGCGGCCGCGTCTCAGGTCCAGAGGCTGGCAGCCCCACCACGAAAACCTGGAAAACCCTACCCCTTTGGCTGCAAGGCTGGGGTTTCCGTTTGGGGCTCCGGATGGCACGAGTGAGGCGCGGAACCTTAAAATATTCCTTCCACTCCTGGGGCAGGGGACGCTGGAAGGGAAGGATGAGGCCGCAGCGGCGGAGTCGTGTGTGTCCTCGTGATTTGCCTGGGCTGTGTGGAGGTGGAAGGCGCTGAGCTGGTTTCGGAGCGCTGCCAGCTCGGTAGGAGCCATGTGAAAGCAGGGCAGATCCGGACGACCCATCCCACCCCAGAACTTCGCTTTAACGCCTGGATTTATTTTTTAAAAATCTGATTTGAGGATGACATGTAACTCGCCCTAGCAATCATCCATTCATCTGCAATCTCCCATGCTTAACCCCCGCGCTCTGAATTTTTTCCCTTCCCGATAAAGTTGAAAAAGTGTTTACTGAAGTCCTAGTCCTTTTATTGACATCTCATGTTAAATTCATTATATTAGAAGTCCGGAGGATTATGACAGCGTTAGGAGGTCTTTTATTAACTGTCTTATTTCACCAGAAGGGGCATCCTGCTTTGGATTTAAAGAATATTAGTAATAATAATAGTAATGCCATTCATCCTTTCGTGTCCCCATTATGGTTCAGGTTTTTGTTTTTGTTTTCCCCAGGTGCAATGGGGGAAGCGGTTTATGTAGAGATGAAAGGGATGTAACTTTTGGTTAGAGAATGGGAAGAAATGAAGTCTCAGGGAGGGTGATGCTGTATGTGAACAAGAGTCTAGACCTTGCAAAGAGGAAGAGGCTGAAGGAAATGGAAGGAAGCAAGGAAAAAGTGCTGGTCTCCTAAGGAGTTGGAAGCAGAGTTCGAATCTTGTGGAATGTAGACAGGCTGATATTACAAAGTTAACCCCCACAGGCTGTATTGTCCTTACCCCAGCTAGTCGAACACACAGCAAAACTTGCACTTAACCATGAGACAAAAGTTGTAGGGATCTAGCCAAAAATGAGTTGTACTCTGAAGACACTAAAAACAAAAGCGTGTCTCCTGTTTGGGGACACATTTCGTAACATGTCGCTATTATACATGTGTATGTATGACTTCATCTCATTCATCCCACCTCTGCCCAACACAGGTTTACATCTTACTATTGGTCTCATCCCATACCTTCATTTCTGCTCTGTTAAATTTATGTTCTTCTCTTCTTTTTCTTTCTCCATGATGTGTTACTATAAGTTGAACAATAAGAATATATTAAGATAATTATAACAGCAGAGTTTGTTTAAAGATTTATATATGAGTTTTTAATGTTGGTGATTGCTTATTTGTGGAGAGGCTTTGGAAGATGAGGGACAGAAAGATTTGATCTATGCACTGAATCCTTAAAGAACTTGTTTTCATATACTTTGCTTTCTGCAACATATAGATGCTGAGTGATTTTTCAGGCTGTAGTGTATATATGTGTTATAAATGTGTATAATGTGAATTCTTCCATTATGTGAGAAATAACTTCAGGGTACATAGAAATAAATGTTAGTTTACATTGATAACTGACTGATACTCTAGTCAGTTTTAAAATGTACTGTTGGTAGACATAAATAAGCAAAATTGAACAGAAAAAGTTAAATATGTATCTAGAATCCTGCACTGATATGAAATGAATGGCAGAATATGTTGGATAAAAGATAGCAGCAGCAAAATTTACTCTTTAGCCTGAATTTTTAGGTAAGATAAATATATCTTTAGTTGTCTTATTACATATATTAGGGATACATTACATGTGGAAAAAACCTCTGAACTATAGTATATATATATATGACTTTTTTATTGTAGAATGTGGCACATTTAACAAGAAACTTATCTAAGATTGATCAAGCAGGACAAATATAAGCAGATGTATCAACAAGTGAACATTTTAACAGATCTAATAAGTAAAGGGAGCATGTCCGCTGTTATGAATATTGGAGGTGGCCCTGAACTTATTCAGTAACTGCCACTTTTTGCTGTCTGGAGATATATTTGTAAACAAGCATTATTTGACAAGTGCTTTTCGCAGCAGGGATTCTTGGCCAATTACTGCTTGAACAGCTCTGCATTGAAAATGATTCACCCACAGTGAATCAAGCTTAATTCATTGAAGCTACAGTCAGTAATGTCCCAGTAAAGTGCTTCTGACAGTTCTCAGCAGCTTGTATTTGAAAAGTCCAGTTTCTTTGAATGTTTTGTACGTTTGAGAATATGGGAGGAGGGACCCGGGGAGAAAACACAGCCCCATAAGGGGAAAAACTTGGGGGCTAAACTATTTGAAAAAGTCATAAAATGGTAGATAATGTCAGTGGAAAGAAAGAAAAGGAGGAAAGTTTGTTTTAGGGGTTTTCTTGGTTTATAGTAGGACCAGTATCATAAAACAGATTGGAGGACATAATGGATTTGTAAAACTAAATGGCTTTGTTTTGTGTCCTTGTCATCCTGTTGTAATTCATTTCCTTTTAGATAAAGACCAAGACCCCACAGGACAGGGACAGTGAAATCATTCCCTCACCAGGACACTACTGAAAAAAAGAAAAAAAGAATCATTACCCTATTTGAACCATACATTGCTGGAAATACAAGAGACTATGAAGAATTTTGGCTTTTGCTTTATAAACCATGAAAGCAGGGCACAGGGTTGAGTCTTGAAATTTTAAGCTTTTATTTTCTTTTTTTTTTGAAGTCCAGGAAGATCTTGGGTGACAGGGTAACAGTTAAGAGGATTTCATTTCCTCACATAAAACAGAGAAGAGAGTGGACAATTCCTGCATTTACAATGGAAATTTTTCCTTTGATTAAAAATCATATATTAGGGATACATTACATGTGGAAAAAACCTCTGAACTATAGTATATATATATATGACTTTTTTATTGTAGAATGTGGCACATTTAACAAGAAACTTATCTAAGATTGATCAAGCAGGACAAATATAAGCAGATGTATCAACAAGTGAACATTTTAACAGATCTAATAAGTAAAGGGAGCATGTCCGCTGTTATGAATATTGGAGGTGGCCCTGAACTTATTCAGTAACTGCCACTTTTTGCTGTCTGGAGATATATTTGTAAACAAGCATTATTTGACAAGTGCTTTTCGCAGCAGGGATTCTTGGCCAATTACTGCTTGAACAGCTCTGCATTGAAAATGATTCACCCACAGTGAATCAAGCTTAATTCATTGAAGCTACAGTCAGTAATGTCCCAGTAAAGTGCTTCTGACAGTTCTCAGCAGCTTGTATTTGAAAAGTCCAGTTTCTTTGAATGTTTTGTACGTTTGAGAATATGGGAGGAGGGACCCGGGGAGAAAACACAGCCCCATAAGGGGAAAAACTTGGGGGCTAAACTATTTGAAAAAGTCATAAAATGGTAGATAATGTCAGTGGAAAGAAAGAAAAGGAGGAAAGTTTGTTTTAGGGGTTTTCTTGGTTTATAGTAGGACCAGTATCATAAAACAGATTGGAGGACATAATGGATTTGTAAAACTAAATGGCTTTGTTTTGTGTCCTTGTCATCCTGTTGTAATTCATTTCCTTTTAGATAAAGACCAAGACCCCACAGGACAGGGACAGTGAAATCATTCCCTCACCAGGACACTACTGAAAAAAAGAAAAAAAGAATCATTACCCTATTTGAACCATACATTGCTGGAAATACAAGAGACTATGAAGAATTTTGGCTTTTGCTTTATAAACCATGAAAGCAGGGCACAGGGTTGAGTCTTGAAATTTTAAGCTTTTATTTTCTTTTTTTTTTGAAGTCCAGGAAGATCTTGGGTGACAGGGTAACAGTTAAGAGGATTTCATTTCCTCACATAAAAACAGAGAAGAGAGTGGACAATTCCTGCATTTACAATGGAAATTTTGCCTTTGATTAAAAATATTCTTGTAATATTGCCA